ACACACACACACACACACACACTATATATATATAAGTATATATATATATAGTACTATATATATATATATGTGTGTGTTTATATAGTATATATATATATATATATATAGATATGGATACCATATACATATATATACATATATATATATATGTGTGTGTACACGTGTGTTTGTGATAGGGTTTTTTGTCGTTAGTGGTCGATTTTTAAACATCCTGATATGCTGCAACAGGTGCGCGTGGATTTGTAGTCGCTTGTCTTCCAGACTCATATGTATGCATTAGAATCAAACTAATAACCCCCATGTCGAACTGTCATCCCCAGCAATCATGTGGCAGTTCAAAATCACATCGTGGAGCTGAAGAGCCAGCCATTGGAAAAGATCGATGTGCACCAGTTGCTATCATTCGACAAGATTGACACCGAGGAGTATCGAACTGTATGTTCCAATGTGTGCATGAGCAAAGTAGTTACACAGTGACCCGTTCATGCTCATGTCGCTAAGTCTATCTTAACATTTTAGGTTTACGCTCGTAGTAAGCAACTCCATGTGACCAAATTCACTGTATGCATGTGAGCATTTACGCATAGCTCACACGTCACACATTCTTCTATGTTCTGTGTGTTTAGTTCTCTTTTTAATGATTTTGCACTCTGCTTTGTACTCTAGATTCTCGCCCTCGTTCCCAGTACTGGTGATCTGTTATATTCAAAGATCGACTATGGTAAATCAAAACCAACTTTCATATCGACTCCCACAACCATACGCAATTGAGTACAAAAAGACACTAAACCTTCCTTCCCGTGTACTGGCATAGGCAAATGCACGGTCTCTGCAACTACAGCCATATGCAATTCATAAGATAAAACTACGCCATACACAATATACAAGATGCAGCAAGTGCAATAATTACTCAATCAAATGGAACCTGTCGTACACAATTATTACGATGCGACTACAGCCGTAGATGAACTAATATGAAACTAATTCGACTTCCCCCGTGCACTCGCACAGACGAACGCGCAGTATTTGCAACGCACTCTGCCGATGCGAATGGCCCACCGAGTCCATGACTTCCAGTTACTGCCGTTCATTGTTGGGTGCAATCCAGCCATCAAGTCTGTGTACGAGTTGCAGGTGCACAACTTTGATCTGCTGCGACGGGTGCGTAGAATTGGCCATCGTTTGAATGATATATACTTTGTGTCATCAATGTATA